ATTTACCTGCTGTCTTGCAGCAGACAACCTCCTTCCATTTCATCTTTCCCCAGTGCTCCTCTCCAAAGCAACCTAATCTAACAGTTAGAGGCAATAACAGCAATCCCTGATTCCCAAATCTCTTTCTTAAATTTGCACCTAATTCTTACAATCACAGTCAAATTTCTGGCCCTTACTGTTACACTTCCCCTGCCACCAAAATGGCAACTGCTCTACTGCCACTTTTAAAAGGGTTAATTGCAATTAATTCTGAATGTCAAGTCCTCTGAACAACTTCAGAAGAGTACAGAGAACAGCATCATACCATATGAATACCACATCCCACAGACTGTTTTGCAAGAAGCTAAATTTCACTAATAACCTGAAGATGGGACAATTTATATCTTAACACACCCACAGCTTTTAAAAAAAAAAAAGTTTAGTAGATTCTGAATAAAAAAATAAACTGCCAATTAGAAAAAAAAAAAAAGGGAATAAAAGGTTTCTCTGGGCAAGGAGAAGTCTACAAAGGCATTTATTGTCACACCCAGCCCCTTTCCATCTCTCACAGCTATATACTCAACTGACCCACAGGGGCCTATCAAGACAAGAGCCTGATCAGAGCAGGGCTCTAGGAAGAAATTCTCCATTCCCTCAGTCTCCCTTAGAAACTTAAAATTCCTTAGATACTCTCCCTTCCCTTGATCTTGCACATTAAAATGTGGCACACAAGCTGGGCCTGCTTTGGATGGGCTCAATTCTACAGAGAGAACTCATAATTTTGTATCATACAAATATTCTTAAACCAACCAAACAAACAAAAGGTCAAAGCCAGAAACTACATCCAAAAGCAGCAGAAATGCAGGCAGTCTGTATTAATGGAGCCGATAATCATGTACCGTACTGGAAGGGAAAAGAACCCTTGTTATCCTTTACTGCTGGGCCTTTGCTGAGTCCATTAGCCACCAAAGACACATTGCAACACACCTTCAATACAAGTTCTGTCTGCCACTTCTACCTTTGCCTACCTAGAGAAACAACAGCTACTGTTGCTCCAAGATTGATTTTACCTCCCCATGTCAATCACCAACAGCCAATCATCAGCACTAGTTACAGCTTTGGTACCTGCAGCCAACAGCCAGCCAAAATGTTTTTTTTGGGTATGTTTGGTACCAGATTCACCATTGAAAATATATTCACTGCTGAAATTGCAGTTTCAATCTAGTAACATGCAAGAAGGTACACTCCTAGCTCTCCATCTTGTTTTCCCACTTCAATCACAGGTCTTACACACACTAGCAGCACACCTTATCTGCGAGGGCAGCCCTGCAGACTGACAATTAATGGTGTGATGCACCAGACTTCCCACAAAACGTAGCAGAAATATGCTCTGAGCTTCAGCAAAGCTTTGAAATCACTGGGCAGGGATTACTTACACAGCTGGAGTAAACAGTGAAGGCCTCTTTCCTGAACACTGATACACCAACTTGCAGCCTCCCACGGCAGTGAGAAATTCATATGCCATTCACATGTTAAGCCCCAGTTTACTTATCCCAAAAGAAAGCAAACCAGTTATTGTGTAAAGTGGGAATGCTGATGAACCTTATAGCCATAGCTTTGTATATTGACCACAAAGAAGAGACTAGTGTTTCAGACTGGGCAGCAGAATGAGGAAGGAATACATTGCCAGAGCTGTTATGAGGCCTGCTCTTCCCATACAGCTTGTGTTTCCTCCAAATGCTGAGATGTGAGCAAGGAAAAAAATCACACTTTTCAGAAGTGATTCGTGCAGTGAAATCAAACCTCCTCTGTTCCAGCCATGTGTAAAGATGAATTTCACTGCTGCAATGCTCACAAAAAGAGGCACTCAGAGTTAAGAAGAGCAAAACCACACAGAGACCAGACCCCCTCCAGAGCCTGCGTAAAACACTCCTGAAACACACACCTTAAGGCAGGTCTGAAAGGATCAGCAGAGCACCACCTTTTTCCTTCGGAAAAGCATTGAATCCCAGAAGCAAAAGATTTCCTAAAACTAAAATATTCTGATTTCCAACAATACTCCAGTTCTGAGAACTCCCTCAACTGTGGCCTGGATGCCTTTTGCTGTCATCTTCCTGTAACACACCATTGCACGGGACAGCAACAACATGCCTGCTCTTTCCCCATGGACTGCCTCCTCCAGCAAGATCCCAGTCCACAGAAGAGACAGGGACATAGCACACAAAGGAGAGTCTCCATGAAACTGCTGCGCTATTTTTAAGTGAAAAACAAAACCAAAAACTTATTTCCCAACATATTCTGCAAAATGTTTTTCTGTACTCTTTCCCCTCTTTAGGCCAGAGAGCCTAAAGGATATTCAAATCCAGCCTGCCTTGAACTGAATCAGAAATTAAGGTCAGCTAGAAAATGAGTGTGCTAACTTTTTGTCACTAAAACTACATTTTCAATAAGTTATTAACACCATGCACCCATCCCACAAGAAACAATTACTTTTCTGACCACACAGGATAACCCTGGGATCATGGAATTCAGCCTGAGGATGGGAACCAGCCTTTTGCTTTTGTCTCAAAATAGCATCATCATCCCAGAATATATTTCAGGGTAGGCAGGAACAGAGTTAGCCATGTTTTCTGCTCCGAAGTGCAGAACAGGGAAGGACACGGGACAAAAAGCTAATAAATCAGTAGAATGGATAAAATTCCCCATGATTTGCTGCCATTCGGTAATATTTACAAAAGAATCAGGATGGAGCTATTTTGTTTCAGGCTCAGCATGGCCAGTGTTCATTGTACCTGAAGGTGCTGAGCACCACAACTTCTCAGCAGAGTCAGATCCAAACAGCTTCATATTAATCATCCAGAGAGATTTTTATTCTCCAGGCTCTTTCTAATAGGATTTTTCCAGATTTTCCCAGACTGTTTGCCTCCAACAACAGCCCAGAGAAAACTACCCTGTCTGATTCTCTTAGCAGTTAAAATTATTAATTATTGACCAAAAAAACTGAACAGCTCCACCCTAGAGCCCAGATTACAACTCTGGCCCTTTGATCAACTTCATAAATCCTTCTTCCAGGAGATGAAAGACCATCAAGTATCAAAACTATGTGACAGCAAATCCTCCCTTCTGGAGCTGCGCTCCTTGCTCTCCCAACGCCAAGAAAGGAATCACACTGCACTCGGTGTGTGGGACCATCACATGCTTTCAGATCCATCAGCTACTGCTGAAAACTGGCCAGCAACTGCCAAGAACCAAAGCTTGTCAGAGCTGCTTCTGCACTATGCAGAGACACTGGGACAGAGACCTCACTAGAAATACAAATTTAAACCACGACAGGGAAGAGATCCCTTTCAGAATGCAGGCGCAGCTCCCAGTCAGCCACCATACCACCCTGAAATCTTTTCAGGAACCTAGATAATTCTTCGTTTCCTATCCTAGACGATGTCAAATGGCTACTTTCCAACAGCCACTCAGACACACTTCCACTCTCCATTCAGAGAGCTTCTGAAAAAAAAAAATCATCTTACCTTGGAACATAAATCTCACAGAAAGAGTGGGGCTTATGTCAGGAGGCAGCACACAAAGCATATCCTTGGCTTGGGCTGACATTCCAGTCTTATCAATGTCTCTGATCTAAATTCTCTGCTAAGCATTTTGTCTGAAGCAAACATCAGTATCATTCAACTCAGTCATTCCCAGAGTCCTGAAACACCAGTTACCTCTGCCATTTGCATTCCAAGTACTCTATCACTGAAATGGTGGGTTCCACCATTTTCCCAGTTTCAGCAGCAGGGACACCAGGGTGCAGAGCCCTATAAAGATCAGACTGCAGATCCCAGTCCTGAAACTCCAGCCCCATGAAAAAGTAGGTTAGTAGCACATTCACAAATGAAAGCACTTGTGGCAAATCTAAGACATAATGGCCCAAATGTTAAACATCTGGCCTATCAACCTTAGCAGGAGACAAAACACAACAATATTTAGAGTTTGCCATTAAAATTTTGTTCCACAAAAGATGAAACATGAGAGATTATGAGAAAGAAAATTCATTCTAGAAAACTGCCCAGAAAAGAACAATGTCAGGACAACTCTCTTACCAAAGTGCCTGAGACTCTTCCCTTTGTGGTCAAACCTGCTGCAGAACAACCCTGAATCAGGAGGACTCCAGCTTGTGCCTCCGCTTCACTGCAAACTCCTATGTGGGGCAGGGACTGAGGTACAGAGAAATGCCAATAGGAAGGGTAGGAGGTGGCGGCAGTGGGAGAGGTAGGAGGTGGCTATAGATAATCACGGAGAAAGTATGAATCAAGTCACAATAGGTTGAAAAGGTGGTCTGTTTTTAAACAAGGAACACAAGATAAACTGGGCTTACCTTTCTCTCAGGCTTACCACAGCAACCTAACAAATATTCCAAAACTCTTTCTTAAGGAGGTCCCAGCAGTAAATCACCAGGGGTTAGCATAAATAGAATAATATGGACAAGACAACAACAGAGAAAATCCAAATGCTTGTGACCCTGAATGATCAGGTCTTTCGTTGCAGTGAAACAAGGGCCTATTCCCCCTATTTCAGATTTCTGTACGTGCTGTTTCTGGACAGGATGGCAAGCTCTGACTGTTCACATGTAAGAGTTGCCACCTACTGTGGATTACTCAGTCAGCTGAGGATCTCACAGCTGTATTGCTTAACTAGGTAATTTCTGTGGCACTATCATGCAAAAACGACATTTGTGCTCAGGATATAGTCAAGGGCCACATCTAAAACAATTCAGCAAAAGAAACTGACTCCCGCTAATAATATAATCAAGACAGCAAAAGCCAAAAAGGAATGCAAGTTTAAATGAGGTCAAAGAAAACTACAAATATCACAAACATTCAAGAAGTTTGGTGCTCCTTCCCTTTACAGTGCCACCTTCATTGCCACGTGGGCCAGGCAAACATCAGATACCCACAGAGCCCATTAGAAAGGCCCTCCCTCAGCCTAGCTGCAAAGACATCTAAAGGAGAAAACAGAAAGACCCCTACCTGCTACTTCCACAATGTGGTGCCTGGCAATATCATAGTAGGGATCATCCCATTGCAGGTGAGTGACGGGCTCAGGGGAGCCTTTGGAGTCGTCTGCACAAAATACAAGGAACAAGCAATTAGAAGAAGGATCTGGAGCACCTTGGTGAGGGGTACAAAAGGGATAAGAGGTATGAGAAAAAATGGCAGTTATGCATGGGAGGGACTAACGTATGCACCTGTACATCTTGAAAACCCACTTTTGGAATTCTGAGGGGACAAGAGCAGCAATGACTTCAGAAGAGTCCTGTCAGTTCTATGAGGTCCATATGTATCCCTCACACTCTCTCAAACGACTGTTCAGATATGTCACAAATGTTCACAAAGACAAAACCCAAGGACAGTAAGGACACCATCACAGCTTTTTAGAGAAGAAGGATTATAACACAGCCCCTCGGTGGATGGCCATCCTGTATGCCCTTGAGCTAATTTCCCTGACGTCTTTGGGCAGCAGTTCATAGCACAGGATTTCAGAGCAACAACTCAGATCTCCAGCCCCATCTCCTACATGGAAGTTCGAGACCCTTCCAGTCTGGAAGGCCAAACTATCCTGCAAGACATCGTAACAGAGGACACTCAAAGATTTACAGCTCATTTGTACTGTCAGCACCAAAATGTAGTCAGGCACAGAAATGAGAAGAGTATATTTACATCAGCTGGCTCTGCACTTTTCAGTGCTGTTCAGTACCAAGGCTGATTCACTTGGGTGTGGTGCAAGTTTAATGTGTCTATAAAGCTTTTAAATGGAGCTGGGGCTCTCTGTATATGTAGATATGACCACAATGCTGCAGGACAAATAATTGCTTTTTGGCCGAAACCCAGATCCCAAACAAGCAGGATACTTACCTGATTTGGGAAAATCAGGGGCTTCATCTGCTGGCCAGTTCTTATAATCTATGGAGGTCAGTTTGAGCTGGCTGAGGGACTGGTTGGTATCATCCAAGTTCAGGTCATCCTGAAGCTCCGAGAGTGGATCTGTAGCCATGGTCCCCAAATACCACAGTTTATTTTGCAGCGCCTAAAACAAGGACTGCAAAGATTGTTAGGTGAGAGCCAGAGATCACAAATTTACCTCCCTACAGAGGCTCTTCCTCTTCTCACTGATTTTCCCCAAATACTTCCTTATCTTTACATCCAGGAACTCCTCCTCCTCCTCCAAGCCAGAAGCACTGACATCTGTCAGATTCTTTCTCGACAATTGCTATCAAAAGGCCATCAGAAGCTGTACCAACCCTCTAGGGAGTCTCCGCTTGACCACAGCCCTGTAAAGAGTAGTTTCTCTCCTGTAACAGAAGCAGCACCAAGACGCTGAGGAAGGCGACAGGCTACACCAGCCCCTGCCTGACACACTCACTGCACCAGCTCTGAGCTCCCCCTCCCTCCGAAGGGCTGGCACAAAGCCCAGCTGTTTCCACAGTTGGCCCAGTGCTGGAAGCTTTCCCAGGAATCACTCTCCCTCCTTCTACCCATAAGGGAGAGACAGAGCTCTCAACAACACTGAAGTGGGTGCTTCTGTGTGCTGGGATCTGAAGACAGAAGTGAACAGCTTCTTAAAACAGGATTTCATAGGCTGAGTTAGTAAGACATGAAGAACAATACACACACAACCCTCATCTCCTTTCAGCATCACCCAGTAAATCCTTCATAGCATGACAGCAAGCAGCAAGGAATCATCTCTTTCATTTAAAGCCATATTGCCAGAATGAGTATTTTTCACGAAGCATGCCATAATACTGAGGAGACCAAAGAATTAAGAGGGTCCAAGAAACAGAAAGCTCAGTGCATTTGCTGTTTGCAAATATTTCTCACTCTCACCTGGCGCAGAAGATGCGTCAAAGCCGGAACTGAACTAGTACAGCATACAGCACCACCTGCAATACTTAGGGACAACCCTGGGGAAACAGCTGTTATCCTCTGAAGTCAGTATCCTGGAAGTAAGGAAACATTGGAAAGGACAATTATGAAGATCTGGATTGCTCATGGACAGTAATTCAGTGGTCAACAGGCACCAAGCCAAGAGAAATTGTAGAAAAACCAAATTACATCTCACACCTGCAAGAGTCTCTGTAACACTGTTTCACAGACAGGCTTATTTTGCATTACAAAGAGACCAAAGGGTTAAAAAATGATCTGAGGAGGCACAATGCCTTTGTGTGAAAAGTATATTCAGAGTAAAGCTATTTTCTTTAGCAGAACTGAGAGGGGGCAATGATGTTTTGCATCCTCCATTCCTAGAGCTTGAATGTGTCTCTTTATTCAAAGAAAACAATGCAACAGTTACCCAGATGTGACCACAAATGCCAAAACCTGGGAGACACTGAGCACTTGAAAGTGTATCACATCCATGCTCAGGTCTACACTTGTGACCAAGCTTGGGGATGCCTTCTGTGAGCACAGGAAATTGGATATTCAGTGTTTGCCATTTCCCTCTGGATCACTCCAAGTTTTTTACTTGCTGTCCTCCCCTATCTGCTACTCATCCATTTGCAACCAGTTTTCACCTCTTTGGGGCTCCAAAGGGCTGGGAGCTATTGCTAATCAAATGCAATGTTTTCCAAATTATGAAAGAGTGTGACATATATTGGCTGTGGATCACCAAGACACCACATCAGACACACAGGGCCTGACCACTGTAGCGAGCACAAAGACCCAAGCAAAATTATTCCCTGCCCTGTAGTGAGGGCTGCAAGAGCTGCCTGACCTTCTCTGATCTCGATGGGACAAGGAGCAAGAAATCAGGTTCCCTTGCACTGTGAGCTCACGCTGGAACCACGCAGCAGTGGAGCCAAGGGACAAGGACTCCCCACCCCTGGCAGCTGATCTGATTTCTATGGTAACAGCAGGCATTGACTCCTATGACTCAGTGAGCTTAAAGCATTTCTCAGCACAGCTCAGCAGCCCCAAAAGCTCAGCACCCCATGCTGAGGAAGCATCCATGCCCCATCAGGGCAGCCTCTCGGCATTCCCAGCTCCCAGGGATTTCCCAGCCCTGGTGGGGACAGAAGACCCAAGTTCAATTGCTGCCATTCATTGAGCTGCCTTTCCTGTGAGATTCTTGGGGATGCCCAGTAGCAACCCCATCCACAAAGCAAGGTCCTGAAACGCTTAGGGACCAAATCGAAACCCTCCCACAGAGCAGTGACAATACTGCCACAGGGACAGCAAGATGCCAGGTGTCCTCACTTTTCCCTACATGGATCACCACTTAGCTTCACAGTCAACTTGCAGCACCTGATCAGAGGCAGAAGAGTTGATTATTAAACTGGGGGATTTCCCCTGCAGCATAAAATTAATCTTAGTGTGGCACCGTGTGGAAGAAGGAAGTCATTAGTAGGCTACACACTGGAAAAAGAGCCCTGGATAGTGCTGTTGCCTAAACCTTTCTTAACCATCAGCATTTCACCACGTTTAACTCAATTTAAGAACTGCACTTGTTTTACATAAATGTCATGACCAGATGCAAGTGGTACAGGCTGTATAGCAAATCGTAAGGTAAGAAAAATTACATACCCAGCTTTAAAAAGTAAAAAGTCTAGTCAAACATTTAAAAACTAAAGAATCACACTTGATGTCAGAAGCATTTATTGACTGCCAGGCTATAAAGAGCCAACTGTTTCCTTTTTTCCAAGCATTTAAGTATATTTTCTGCACCTATACTGCACATGAACACTTGCTGTCTAATAAAAATTAACTTTCTTGATAACAGAGATGTGCTGGAGAACAGCATATTCTGCGGAAGGAGAGAAAACTCAGTCCATTAAAATACAATTTTCACACAAATTCTGATCTGGAGATTCCTTATACGAGATCCCACCAGAATTTACCCAGGGAAGACAGTTCAATTATATCTAGAACGTCTTGGTAACTGCTGTTCAAGCAAACTATTTTTTTCTGCAATTTCAGTATCACCACTTTTCCACCACTTATTTTTAACCTGCCCATGCTTGGTAGTTTCCTTTTCCTGTTTTCTTCCAGACATACTATCAATTCAGAAGGAATTCTACACTTCAAAATATGTCCATGCATACATTACCACACCCTGGACCTGCACTTACAATAAAGAATTCCAAAAGCCAAGTGACCTCTTCTGTGCCAGATGAACAAGTAATGGTCAGATACAAAGCAATCCCAGGTCTGGAATTAGTTTTCGGACTTTGCTGCCATCCACACCTCCTCCCAGTTTCGGTTCATTTGCACAAATGTCTGTTTTTATGTACACACCAATCAAGTTCCCTGTACTTTGCTATAGTGTTAAAATCAAGCACATTGCAAGAAAGGGGAGCAGTTACTCAGCAGCAAACCTTTGGAGTACTCGAGTGAATGAGCTCCAGAACCAAGACTCTACCAAAAAGTCCAGTCCAAGCCCCCCTTCACATCAGTACTGATGATACCACTGAGAGCATCACTGAAAGCATCACTACCCTGGTACTACTCTGAAAGAACCTAAGGGTCAGGAGCCAGACCAGCTTTGTCTGGCTCACTGTGACCAGATAACTCAGGACAGACATACTATTGCTCAGGGAACCTCTTCAATCCTGCTTTATTGTAACAGCTTTTCAACTGAGCAACCTTCCTTCTCCAGTCATCCCAATCTGTTTGCTGAAGGCCACCTCTGTTCCGCTGGAAACACATCCCAGCTAGCAGTCGACCTCCCGTTAGTAGTTCTCTGCAGGGTCTGAGAGCAAAAGCGCTGAGCTCTTTAAGTGTCCCCTCTGGTGCTGCAGCACAAAGTACAGAGGCTGCTCTCAAGTGTCCTGCAGGACCCACCCGTCACACAGGGTGAGCAAGTGAGGCAGCGGGGCACACACAGCCCTGCGGGTCCTGCACCTCTCTTCATCATCATCATCACCGCCTCCACCACACATCTGTTCTCTCCCATTCCCTTCGACTGAGCTCCTTGGAGAGCCCTGACCCAACCCCAAGACTCACCTACACGACTCACAGATTTGCTGTTTACACTGTTAAAACAAAGCCCCAAGCTCCCCTAGCACACGCCAGCTGCCTGGGGGTGGGACGTGCACCGCGGGGAGGGCGGCCACCCCAGCCCCGCCGGGACGGGACCAGACAACAGCACGGCCCGGTGGCCCCGCTCCGGCGCGCCCGCACGCCAGCACCGAGCAGAGACCAGCACCCCCGCGGTCCCCGGCCCCATCTCTCCCGCCCGGGTGCCCCGCGCGCTTCACCAGCCCGCGCTCTCCCGCGGGCGGTCACGGCGGGCGAACCGCACGGCATCGCCCTCGCACAGGCGCGCCCGGCAGCGCCCGGGCTCGGGCTCGGGGCGGGCCCGGGCCGCTCAGCCCCAGCCCCGCCGCCGGTCCGCTCCCCGCCCCGGCAGCACCGGGACAGGTCCGCCGGGCCCCGGTGCTGCACGAAGGGCCCGGCCGCGCTCCGGGCAACAGCTCCCGCCGCCCCGCCGGTGCCGATGCCGGTACCTGCTGCCGCCGCGGCCGCCGCCTGGCTCCCACCGCCCCGCCGGAAGCGCGGCCCGCCGCCGGAGGAGCGCGGCCCCGCCCGCCCGCCGCGCCGCCGGCGGGCCGCCCGCTGCCCGCTCGCCTCCGTTCCGCCGGCCGCGCGCCCGAGCCCGGGCGGCGGCGACGGGGAGGCGGGGGCCGGGCCCGCCGGCGCGGAGGCCCTATGGCTGGGTGTTGCGCCCCAGCCGGGTGCTGAAGCGGCCCGGCCTTCCCCTCGGGGGTCTGCGCCTTCAGCTGTCCCCGGCATGTGTGCGCCCCGCAGCCCCTCCGAGACGGCTGTCCTGACCTTGCGCCGCTTCTGAGAGCCGACAGCCGAGAAAGGAGCATGCCGCCCTGTTTGATTCTTAGATATCTCCTAGAAATACAGACCGTGAAACGCTGGGAATGCTGCACGGGTACTGTCTGTGGTGAGAGATCAGAGATTCTTCCCTCTTCACCGGTTTAAAAGAAAAAAAGGTCATAAAAGTAATGGTTCTCATGGCAGAGCCTCACGATTACTGCACAGCAGAGTATCTGTCTCCAATGTTCTTCTTAACCAGCAGCAATCATTCCATATAACAACAGCCAGTGTTAATTCACCCACAACACTTTTGCGTTTGCGCACGGGTCTCGATGTCTCCAAGGTGGTAGCTGATGAAACCACAGTTCTCAATGTCCCTGTTAGCAGGCCATCCACCAAACATTTCCACAGGCTGCAAGGAGAGGAAAGCACAGCATCTGAACATGAGCCATGGCAAGCCAAGGTGCTGGGGACTGAGAATCAGCACCTCGAGCCCATATCAACCATTAAGGCCAATGGCAAGTGTGAGGAAGAATTGGTCAAGGGTGTGGATCCCAGATCTGCAGCAGAAAAAGTGGAGGTGAGGCATAAAGAGGCAAGGCCAGGAGACTTGGATCTGTTGTCTCCCACAAGTAGGGTTCGATTCAGGGCTCACTTGGCTGGCAAGCCATACAAGGTGCATGCTCTGGCCAGCCAGGTCCAGAAGTGCCTGCAGGACTGTGATGGCAGGACAGTTGGGCAGAGATCCCAGCAGGCCAGTTCTTCAGAAGGAGAGACTGTAGAAATTTGTGAGGAGAAGAGCAAACCTTTCAAAAACTCCAGACTGGCATCCCTGGAGCAGGGGTGAAAGGGCCCACTGGAGGGGCCTGAGGGGCAGGAGGAGTATACAGAGCTGATGGAGGGTCATTCTGGCAGCCCAGAACCCACAGCAAAAGTTCTGTCCCAGAAGGAGATGATCAAGCGCAGGTAGTGCTGTGAGGAGTGTGGTAAAGCCTTTCTGTGGCTCTGCCACCTCAAGAAGCACCACTTTGTCCACTCTGGCCACAAGCCCTTCCTGTACATGGAGTGTGGCAAGAGCATAGTTCAGAGGGGAGCTTCGAGGCCCATGTGTTGGCCCACGAGTGCGCACCCAGTATGACAAGGCTTATGCGCTCCCTGAGTGACATGGTCATCATCCAGAAGTGGTGGAGGTCGAGACTGGGACCTGACTATCCCAGCCTGCTCATTACTAAAATGAGGTAAAAAGACAACAAAAAAACTAGCTCTCTTGTCTCTGTTACCACAAGGCCCTGTGCTCAGCCCCAGGCAGAATTGGCAGTCTTGGAGGTAGCTGCCTGTGTAAACGTGGGTCTTTGCAGTAGCTGCTCCTTGAAGCTGTGAGCCTACACATGCCACACGCCAGTCCTCGTGCAGGGAAGTCATTGGCTGTTGATAGGAATAACTTCTTAGAGAAGACACTCACAATGTTAATGAGCAGTGCTTCTGCTCCGCCTCTGTCACACTGCCAGTTGGTGACAGTGCCCTGTGGGGAAGGCAGGAAATGTCTCAAAGCAGCGACTTTGAACAATGCCTCCCTTTCATGATTTTTTAATTCTTGTTATTCAACAAGGTGCTTTCCTGGGCTTTTACTCTTGGAGCTCAGCAACACTTCTGATCAAATATTTGAAGGTGATGCTCATGCCAGACATTACTGTAATCTTGTAATATGAAGACCGTTTTTCACAATTAGCAGAAGCAAAGTCCTGCCATGGAGCTAGGGCTGAGTGTTCCTTCTCCACTCTCACCTGGTTTGCTTGCTGCCAGCTTCCTGGCCTTATGGTGACTGGACAGTCTGTCTGAGGACATGAAAAGGAGAGTTTTGTCTCACTGTGCAAATAGCATTGTACAGTGCAATTTTCACTGTCCCCAGCTGAAAGATTTTCTCTTTCCTCTCCGTGTTCAAGTTGAGTTCATTAGTCTGTTTCCCTTGTTTCTTTTCTCACATACTTGATTCCTCTCTTCCACTTCTTTCCTTCTCCCACACCAAAAAGCTAAAAGACAGCACCACCACAACTACACCCCAATATTCCCTCTGCTCCATCTCTAAACAAACCTACGTCCTGAGGACCTCACTGACACTGTCCAAGCTTGCTTGGCCCCGGCAGATGAACCTCAGGATTAAAGGGTGGGCTCAGTTCAGCACACACTGTGTCTCACCTAAAAAAAAAAAATCCACTGCGCAGGCTCTAAGGGTTAATGACCTTTCCCAAATCTTCGCTCGGGAAGACTGGCCATACACACACCATCTTCTTCAGTGCCTGTTTGCGACTGAAGCATGCTGATGATGGAAATTGGTCCTGTTTCAGGAAGGAAGTGCACAGTTCCCAATGCCATGAACTTGACCTCAAAGGAAGAGACTGACAATACCAGACCTAACAGGTCTTTCAGACTTGCCCACTCTGCACTCTTTTTTCACATGTTATACAAACACCACTTTCATTTGCTGCATCCTCAGTTTTAGCTGTTCTTGCTCTCTGTCTTGTGCCTCTCTAACACCTGCAATTCCCCAAAATTTTTTGTTTAGTGGCTTTAAATTCTCTGGGCTTCTTATGCCCACTGCATATAAAAGAGAAAGGATAGGGAAAACATCAGTAGCACAGTTTCCTCTTGGGGTTCTATGAATGCAGTCATGTGACACTCTGAAAAGTCATTCTTTGCAGTTTTCTACATTAAACGTTTTTTTCCCCTAAACTTTTTTGACTGGTTTGCAGACCGAGTGCTGCAGTCAGATCCATGACACTTTGATGTGAAGTGAGGATGGAAGGTGAATTCAACTGATAAACATTGGGTGTCTTTATTTTTAACAATTTTCTTTAAAGTCAGGGGGCACATGAGCTGAGTCTTTACCCTGAGTGCTTGGAGCAAAGGCATATGGGGGGGGCTTGTATTTGAAACTGCAGTGCTTCCTACTGTTCCCTCTTTGGTGCCTATCCAAACTCAAATATTGACACAGTTGCAGAGTGTTCTTACTGGAGCTGGGCTTGTGTGCTGTGTTTTGAAGCACATGCCCTCTGTCACATCAGAACTGGGAGAGAAGGGGGAGCAATGGGGGGGGAAGGGAAGGGGAAAACCAAAGCCCCTATTTCCTAAACAGCTGACCTGCTTCTTTATTCTGAGGTAACAGGAGAGAAATAGTAGGAGCAATTATGAATTCAGAGGTCTTCACAGAAACATTGATCACCTAAGAGTTGATCTGAGTAGCTGGGGCAGGTCTGTGCTGTGCTGCACGTATCACTTGGTTGCAAGATAAACTCAGCTGACTAATCCTGACTGAGGAGCCCATAGGGGACTCTGACTGGGCACCTGGTGATGGTGCCATGACTTTGTCTTTGTCTTTATCTTAGAAACACCACGTTCTTATGTGAAAAACCTTTTGCTTGACAGTAAAATGATGAATAAAGTTGTTTACTCCTAAGAAAATCCTACAAAAGCCCTGAAGACCATAATGCTGGTGAACCTCAAAATGGATAGGATCTGTACAGGGTGCCATGGCCTGAGTAGATACTGTCCGGTGCTGTATAGCTTGGTGTTTGCAGCATCTGAAGGGGTCTAGGATTAGCTAATGCTCTACTGTTTCTTGTATTTTTTAATTACTACATTGTGGGCTCTGAATGCCTTTCTTACTGGGATCCATAACAAACAGTTGCACCAATGCATTACATTTGGTGTAGGCAGCAGCATCCTGCTGAGAAACACCTTACTGGAAGAAGGATAGCAAGGAAAAGGATAGGTACCTGCTTGGTCCTATATGCTGGCATGGGCTTCACCAAGGCTTTGGGGTGCTGCTGCAGCACTCTGGGGTGACAAGTGCACAAATCTTTCGGATAATTGGGCTCCTTCATGCTGGCAGGGCTCACTGGTTATCAGGCATGCATGTGAACTTCAGTGTTACAGTTAAACTTCACACCACATTCAGGGTTCAGCCCTTGGCCAATTTGTAAACTGGCTTAAAGCTGACCAAGAGGTTTGAACAAAAAGGCAGCAGCAGGCTGCAAGGGAAGGGGATGATTCTCTGGGTCCTAAAGTCCTTCTGACTCAGCAGCTCTCCTGTCCTCAGGGGCAGAGGAACCCCTGTGTGAGGGGATGGGGTTTCATCTTTGTGATTGTATCCAAAGTGTTACGTTGATTAAACTGTGATCAAACTGTATAACTCACTTCAGGAACATATTGATAAATACCCCAACTATTGAACCAGCAAACTCTCCGTCATAGAGCAGACAAAGGCCCAAGAAAATGGGCCAAGGATAAACCTTCTATATTCTGCTCCCTGAAAGTTGGAAAAATAGTTACATAGGAAAAAATAATTGCTAAAGGCTTTCTTCACTTAAAAAGAAGAGTCAACACATAGAGGGAAAGAGATCAAAACTCCCAGCTGTGTTAAAAGCCAGAACTGTGGGATGGTAAAGCTATGAATCTTAACTCTCTTGTCCTAAGAAAGAAAATAGCATCCATCATTCATGAGTGGGTGAAGGTAGAAAGAAAATGAAATGATAATGAGTTGCTTACAGGAATGGTGAACAGGTGGAAGAGTTAAATGTTGAAGGGGTAGAAGTCAAAACCCCTGGAGAGGTGGTAGCTTATGCATGCTGTGCTGCTGCAGAGGCTAACCATATGAGTGGGAGAAACAGAGATGAGCCCTAGAAGCACATTACAGAACAGAAAAGCCCACAATGTAAAGAG